GATTACATGTTTTGTAAACTTAGAGAAAGCCGATGACCGGATTAAGTACAATAATTTATGGGCGTGTCTGCAGACGTATTAGATGGATGACCGATTCATGAGCCATCCATCACTACATGCTGGTAGCAGTTGTTGACTCAGAGTAAATAGCGTTAAATCTAAAAGTTTCGACGTTGGCACTAGTCTCCTCTGAAGAAGAACGCTGCCCGCTCTCCTGTTCGCGTTGTACATGAACGGAACGCTCAGGTGCACAGGGCGACGAGTGTATCAACGTTGGAGATGTGGAGACGAGAAATCTGCTGCTCGCATATGACCTCATTTTGTTGGCATCTTCTGAAACTGATCTCCGGCTCACTCTGGAAAGATCTGGTGCCAACTGTGACGTGGCCGGCAAGCATGTGAACGTATCTAAAACGAAAAGTCTAATGCATTCTCGTTCTCCTGCCTGACGCACACTGCTGATTAACAGATAAACAGCGCAATAGATGAACAAGTTGACGTACTGCAGGGTCGTGTTTACTGGTGATGAAAACGGAACAAGAGATCAACCAGGAACTGGGATTATCAGGGGCGTTCTACCTGAACTAGACCGATCCACTGTGAGTAATGCAGAGCTTAGTCTCAAGACTAAATTGTATGTGTAGATGTCCATCCTAATGCTCACCTATAGTCATGAATCGTTGGCCATGGCTGAAAAACTTCCAGCCCCGATACAAACAGGTAAAATGGGCTTTCTGAGCTGAATCGATGTTCCCACACGTCTCGCAACAAGGTCGGTGGTTAGGGTTTCCAAAGAAGCCTAGGTTTACAGCCGCTGCTTCGCCAAACAGAGAATTCATAGATGCGATGGCTTTGGCACCTTGTGCGAATGCTTTCTGAGAGGAAAGCGAAACAGCGATTACTTGCTCAACATACGAAGAAAGACCACGGGAAAAGACAAGAATGATCTGGCGAAAGTGCGTCGATGGATTCTGCTCCAGACTCCGGTTTTAATCTGCGGAACATCAGATTCTGGTACGGGATCAGAAAAGTTGCAAACACTGTCTGACACTGTTGTTCCTATGCCCCAAAAGGACAAGGAGCCACCAAAACTGACTGACCTGATATTGTTATATTCTGATAAACATTCACTCTGCTGCAACATTACCATACTCTGTCCCAACTTTTGCCAAAGCATGGCAGACGGCCAACTGATTCACCTTTGCATCATTGATCCACAAACCTGCCTAAAAATCACATTAGTGGTGAAACAGTTGCTTAATTTCTTACTTTAAGATTGTCCAGTTTAACGTTTGAACAGACTTCTCGAACCTGTTTGGCAGTCATCATCTGTACTTCCTTTTTGTAAGCTCTGAAAGTTGTCTGTCATCGTTTAAATGTCACTGTTGCAAGTTAACATCAAACAAACTTAGCAAATGAGTAAATTCGCTGCAAATGAATAAGAGTGGCGTCTGTGAATGCCAAATGCAAACGTCCAAAAGCAGTGTAGTCTAAAAACATATTATTTCAATGCATAGTAGCAAAAGAACTCACCAACTAACGGTGACACCTTAGCCATTTCACGAAATAACTCATCAGACAATGCTGCCACCGAAAACAGCTGCGGATCTTGCAAAATGTGACCTGCCATCAGGAGACCACCGCTTAGCCATGTTCCACCGCCGCCGAGTCTGCAACAGCATCAATTTTGAGAGCACAATTCTGTAAGCAAACGTGTCAAGAGAAATGGGCAAATCCTCGAGATATAAGAATGAACCATAAGGTATGTTTCAATAATGCCTGTCAGCATTAGCACAAACTAAAGTTACTCATCTGTAATCCCAGAAGGTCTTTCAAATTATCAAACGGTAACAATTCGATCGATAAAAAGTAAGAAAAATAACAAATATCCTGATTCATCATCACCAGCAATTTTTTGCCATTTTCATCAATCATTAAACAGCAAATTTCTTCAGCTGGTCCAGCCGTCTACGGGAGGTCTCCCTACGGACCGTCTACTATCTTTTGGAACCTAG